GCCCGCCGCTTATTAGGCCCAATTTGGTCTGGGCCCGAGGTGGGCTTTATAGCCGGTGACTACTGTATTTAGAAGCGCATTTAGATCAGTTTCTGTTGGGGCGATGGCGAAGACGTCATGGACATATCGATCGTAGTGTTTTAACTCGTGGATCTGCTCGGTGAGTTGAAATTTATCCAGCTCGCCCATGAAGATGTTAGCCAAGAGAGGCCCGAGACGCGAACCTATAGCGACGTTGTCTATTTGTTTATATAGTTGGTTGTCGAAAAGGAACTGCACATTTAATGTGCATTTTAGTACTAGTTCCTTACTTCCTACTTCTATCTGATTTGTCACTAAAAAGCCGCAGATGTAGTCGACTGTCTCTGTAACTGGGACAGTTGTAAACAGCGATGAGACGTCTAGGGAGAGCACCATGCTGCGTTTAAGTTCATGTCTTTGACGCCGTCGATAAATTGGAACGTATCTTGATAGCTATGTGGTGCCAGCTGCTGTTGTAAGGGCTTGAGTTTCTCTGCCAAGCACTTCGCTATCGCATGATATGACGAGTTTCACATGTCCAAAATCGGACGAACTGGCAGGCCGTCCTTGTGGATCATAGATAGGCCATAAAAACGGGGAAGTGCGTACCTACTGGCCGCAGGTGTTCGAGGTCACGGTCACTTATGAATCCTGCCAAGTGGAGTCTTCTTAAGCAGCCGGTCAGCTGTACCTCTACTCAATCCGTACAATCGTTATCTCTGTCTACTTTCGTAAATTTCGTCTGATCCGATAGCATGGCCTGCACCTTCACGTCTCCTGCCCATTTTATACTCAAAACAAGGGTATATTTAGGCTCAAAGGGTTTTCAATTCCTAAATATTTTGATACCGATCTGTCATGGCGCGGTTTCTAGTCCATAAACTGCATACATTCTGGACAGGGCAAATTATACATTCCGCTATGCCAGTAGGAAGATACGGTATATTTTTAATTGAAAGAATGCAATGGGTATTAGCGGCATTATTAAATGGATGAATACGATACTATTTGAATGGATATTCTAGAGTCTTAAATCAACTCACAATATCGAACACTTTTAAAACGACAGGTAGCCTTTCGGCTGGTATTAAATTTGAAGTAGCCAAGACTAACTGTAAAATGAGTATTAAAAAGATATTTTTGTGCATGTCTCGCATAAAATATAGTTGAATTGATAGGAGCTACATAAATCAATAGAAAAAATGTATACTACAGTAGATTACATATTTGATGAAAGGTTGGAGATTGGGGAATTTAACACATATTTGAAGTTGTTTATTTAGTTCATTGGGTTGACTTGAGGCGCAAAATGATGCTTACTA